TCTGACTATCGAGCGGCATGCGGGGTGGTTTTCCAGGTGTAAATATATCCGGAAATAAATGTGTAATTTAGTTCAGCTGCATGTGAATATATTTTAATTTACACCCACCTTGTGGATATGTAAAGCAATTTCTCAAATTTATTGTAAGAATGCAAGGTTTCACGCTATGCAAAAAAAAATATATTTTTTTTTCAGGTGGCTTCACTGTCCAATCTTATAAAGGTGCTCAAAAGCCAACACCCATGGAGCTGATGCGGGCACAGGCTAACAGAATAGCGGATGATCCTGCAACATTTAAACCCCCCAAGATAGAAATGCCTTCATTTGCTACAGACAAGAAAAAAATTCCCCGTGGGCACAACCTGCAGCCTCGTGACATGAATATACTCACACCCACTGGCTTCTAAAAGACTTCATTCTCCTAATTTTTTTTTTTTTTTCTTCCTGCTTTGAAAAAGGACAACAATGAGATAATTTAATACCTGGCACATTGATTGCCTTGGCAGGAAAAAGAGTTAATTCAGATAAAAAGGTTGTGTCCTTCTTGATTTTTCGTTGTGGCATTCCCCTTCACCGAGCTTTGTCAGTGCAGGAAGAAAGAACTTTCCTTATATCTTCTTCACTGTTAAATTAACTGTCAATCCACTAAATAACTCCATATAAAACTATGCATAGAAGCTGTTACACACTTGTGGTTGGCACTCTCCAATCCCTCTTTTCAAGCAAATGAACCAAATGGTTAAGCTACTATATGTGTAATGAGCCCTTTTACCAGAGCTGACATTCCTCCTTGTGTATAAAAGGTTATGAGGGTGTTATTGGTGTCATGCCTAGAGTACCTTGTGCAATAACCTAGCTTTTATGTGTCTATGAAAACGTAAAATGAAAGCTTGCTCTAGGACATTGACCACTAACTTGAGGTTTTTCTGTGTTTTTTTTTTATTTTTCCTGCTTTTGCCTTTCTTCATTGCATTATCTGGAGTTACAAGATAGATGCGAGCCCAATTTGTGTTATTCAGATCTTAATTCCTGTGTAAATACTGCTGGATTGATCAAATGCCCCAGGGCAAAAGAAAAGGCCTGGATGTTTTGAGAGCAAAGGATGTTTTGAGAGCAAAGGTTTGCTAAATATTTATTAATGTTTTTTTTTTTTTTTTATTAATTTTTTTTTTTTGTTCCCTTAAAATTGTCACATTCTGAGTTCAGAAGCTACTATTGCATCCCATTGTATGATTCTGGTAGGGAAGTGTAAGTCCAACTCTACAAAAAAAAAATCACAGTGGTTGCCAGTCTGGTTTTGTGGCACTCACACCCCCCACCCTTCAAATGTTCTTATTGTCTGCTTATTATTTGAAATTGAATTGCTGAGCACAGTACTGCATGGTGCAGTATTTTGCCTACACTGACTGGCTGTTGTCCTGGTTTAATTACTACAGCTGACTGGACAACTAATAGTGCCTGTAACATTCTTTGAAGCCTAGAGCTTTAGTTCACTGGGAATTATTTTTCTAGCTGGCCCTAAAACTAAACAATTTTACTTCAGAAATAAGTGATCGAATTATACCTAGGTGCTTAAAAATGTCTCCAGGTAACCTGCCACCGCTGTCAGAGTAAATTATGATGTTCTTCCTCCCTACCCTTTTAAAAATAATCGCTGTCCACTTAGAGGACATTGAGTAGTTAATTTTTATTTTCTTTTTGTATTTTTTATTTTGCCTGTGTCTTTTTGTTCACAATAAACCTGAAACTAAACTATTTACTTTTGATGTGCATTTAATCTTGTGCCTGAAACATTTCTTACATAAACTGTTCAAAAGTTTATTTACTTCTATCCCAGTGTTTACACCAATTGTGACGCCCTCGTTATTAAACTACCTTCCTGATAGTGCTTTGCAATTCTAAACTTGTAGGAAGTAAACTTTCACTAATATCTGGTGTGCCAAACACAATCACTACCATTTATAGATCTAGTTTATAAAACGCTAGACAACTCTAGGTCACCTATTCTACTGGTTCAGTCCACTACCCAACTAAATACAAAAACCTGTTTAGTAGTTATACCTCCAATGTAAACCTGTATTTTCTTTTGGAGGTACCATACTTTTTCATTATATTTTTTGTTTTTTTGTCTAAAATTGGGGGCTGTCTTAAACACGGAATGTCACTGCAGGGGTTAAAAAACAAAACTTGTGCGCGTTGCTTGACATCCATCCAAGCTAGTCGCATGTGGATGGAGCTCTTTCAAAAACTTAAGTATTATGCCAAATACTTACGTACTTGTTAAGCGCAATTTGGGCACAAAACCTGACTACTCGCTGACTGTTCTGTTTGCTACAGGCAGGTTCCTGCGAGCATAGGTTGTTGTACACCTCTGTGAACTGCTGCTATACTTTAAGTAGAGGAGGCGCTTCACTGTGAATTTGATTGTGTGCTCAGGTCTGGGAGATCTTGCGCAACAGAATGCTTCCTCGCATCACTCTAAACTATGTCCACATCCCCCATAGGGTACCAAGGGCATCGTTGCCGCCAACAGTCCAGGGGCCATTGGGCAGTGGCCTACCAAACTGGACTTCAGTGCTATAGATGTTTAAAATAATGTATGTATTAATTTTGGGCTAAAAAAACTCATCTTATACATGGGAAAAATATGGTGGGTGTGCGTGTGTCTCGCATCAATGCCACGCATGCGCATTAGACCTCCCCATAGGAAAGCATTAAATGCTTTCCTATGGGGATTTTAGTGATGCTGGAGGTCCTCACATAGCGTGAGGACGTCCAGCGACGCTATAGCACAGAAAACCTGTGCTATAGACCAGGAAGTGCCTTCTAGTGGCTGTCTAGTAGACCGCCACTAGAGGACGAGTTAACCCTGCAAGGTAGTTATTGCAGTTTATGAAAACGGCAATATTTACAGTTGCAGGGTTAAGGGTAGTGGGAGTTGGCACCAGACCACTCCCATGGGCAGAAATGGTCTGGGTGCCTGGAGTGTCCCTTTAAAATAAACAAACACTATAAATGAGTGTTCAGCTTGTTTTCCAAACTCTAATCCAGGCAGAACTTTTTTTGAGATTGGAGGTAGAAAGCAGCAATTTTACTTACAGTAAATTTAGTTTTGTATAGTGGCAATACTGAAGCAAGTGGGTAGTATCTTCCCCATATGGACTAGAAAAATTAGAATTAAATACAATTCCCAGCTACTCATACATAAATGGTATGCTCCTTCAAGCCTCACAGTTATTAAAAGAACCATACAGAGACCAAATACTGCAAAAATTAACAAAATAGGGAGGTAACAAACCGTACTGACACTATATCAAGGAAAAAGGAATTTACGTTACATAGAATTGCTGTTTTTCCCTTTCAGATTAGAGGCAGTGTATTACAACAGGGATTTCTAATCTGGAGGGAAAATAAGGCAGGCCAACTGCCAATATTTTTAGAACCTCCCCCAAATTTCCATTTTGGCACTATAAAAGTGCCTTAAAGGACCACTCTAGGCACCCAGACCACTTCAGCTTAATGAGGTGGTCTGGGTGCCAGGTCCAGCTAGGGTTAACCCATTTTTTTATAAACATAGCAGTTTCAGAGAAACTGCTATGTTTATTAATGGGTTAAGCCTTCCCCCTAATCCTCTAGTGGCTGTCTCATTGACAGCCACTAGAGGCGCTTGCGTGCTTCTCACTGTGATTTTCACAGTGAGAGCACGCAAGCGTCCATAGGAAAGCATTGATAATGCTTTCCTATGCGACGGGCTGAATGCGCGTGCAGCTCTTGCCACGCGTGCGCATTCAGCCCAGAAGGAGGAGAGCTCTCCGCCCAGCCCTGGAAAAAGGTAAGTTTTTAACCCTTTCCCCCTTCCAGAGCCGGGCGGGAGGGGGTCCCTGAGGGTGGGGGCACCCTCAGGGCACTATAGTGGTCCTTTAAACACCCAAGCTCCCCAGTTCTTTGCCTGCCTCTGGCATGTGAGGTTGTCAGGCTTACCCTTTCTTAGTGGAAAACCCAGGAGCAACTAACGGTTTGTCAGGTGCACTCAATCTGTTGCAAGTGTGTTCTCACCAACCCTCCAGTACACTTTGAGGCCATTACGTTAAGACTTTTTGCTTTTATCTTGTGCGCTTCCAGCCTGATCTACATTTTGTTCTTGCGTTTTAAATTTTATTTGGATGTATTTTTATTTTTTCCTCTTGGTTTTTCTCTTCAGTATATCTAATCCTGAGGCTGCAGAGAGATCTTCAGAGAAAGGAAAATGCACGACAAAATCAAAGCATTTAATCTGTGCTTCATGTTCCCAACTCATGTCAGATGGTTAGAAACTAAAGATTTGTTCTAATTGTAATGAAGCTTCAGACGAATCTAAAAAAATTCAGATGTCCGCGTTCCAACAAAACCTACAGCAGACTTTTGACATGCAGTCCGCAGCGTTACAGTATGCACAATCCTCTGTTTCCCATGATACAGCAGTAAAAGTTCATGCTAAGAAAAGACAGAACATGGGAATTCTCTGATGCAAGCTTGGATTCCTCCCTTTCAGAATCCATAGAGCATTCTAGTGATTCACCTGATTAAGAATATTTTCCAGAGGAATGTATTGGAAAGCTTGTTAAAGAAGTCCAGATACTGATGGGTGATCAGGAGCAAAGGGGGAAAAAAAACAAACAAAAGCATTTACTTTTCATTCTCCGTTAAAAGATCTGATTTTGAGGGAACTTAAATTTCCAGGGAAGAAACCTTTCCTTTCTAGGCACTTTAAATCTTTTTTTGCCATCAATGCAGAACCAGAGTGTTTATTAGAGCCTCTTCCTGGGTAAGAAAACCACATTACCCATTGGAGATTCAAGTGGTTTAAAAGAAGCTATGGAAAAAAGGATAGACTATTCTTTGAAGAAGCTTTTTACCTCCTCATCAGCTCAGTGTAAAGCACTAATTGCAGGTACTTCAGCGGCAAAAGCAAAGAAGAAGTGGCTAAACTCGTTAGCAAAGATCTATGCGGGAGAATCCAAAGAAGATCCAGTTCAATTGCTGCAGAACATTAAGATGGCATCGAATTTCTTTGTTGATTCTTCTACAGAAAGCCTTAAAATATCAGCCAAAGGTATGTGTTTATCCACGGTGGCAAGAAGAGCAGTATGGTTGAGAAGCTGGTCGGTGGATTCCGCTTCCAAATATTCCCTATGTGATAATCCGTTTGAACTAGGTAGACTTTTTGGTTCCAAACTAGATGAGCTCTTGAAGCAAATGACGGATGGCAAAAAAGCTGTGCCAGCAGAAACCAGGAAGACAGGGGAATAGAGATTGACCCACTTACAGAGGCTCATTTTGGATAAACTTAGACAGAGATCAACAAAGAAAAGTGTTTCATTACAAGAGAAAAGAGATTCTCAGACAAAAATAGAAATTCATGACACCATTCCTGTAGGTGGAAGACTAACATTTTTAGGCACGGGGGCAGCAAACTACCTCAGACTGATGGGTTCTTTCAGTGATGATAAATGGGTACCAATTAGAACTATCAGGTATCCCAAGAAGAAACTTATGTTCAACAGTTCACTCAGCTACAGCAGAAAATGCTCATAGAAAGCATTCCAGGGAAAGAAAAGTTCCAGGGCACCTATTCAATAAAATTTTTGGTCACGAAACCAGATGTTACTTTCAGAACGATTTTAGATCTAAAGGCAGTCAACAAATGATAAAAAAATGTTTCCTATGGAGATGATAAATTCAGCCAGTCACATTATTCAACCAGGAAATTTGCTTATTTCTCTGGACTTGAAGGATGCATACTTGCACATTCCCATCACAGAAACAAGCAAGAGATTCTTAAGATTCGCCATCAAGTTCCAACAGCAATGTTTTCATTATCAGTTCAGAGTACTTCCGTTTGACCTTTAGTCAGCCCCAAGAGTTTTCACAAAAACACTGGTAGTTATTGCCACGGATTTAAGAAGTCATCTATGTGATCCTGTATTTGGACAACTGGCTTTTAACAGTCTATTCAAAAGAACTTTGTCAAGACCTCCAGTCTGCTTTGGAATCCTTAATAAGCCACAGATGGATAATCAACAACAACAACAAAAATCTGAATTGGTTCCTAACCAAAGGATTCAGTTCCTGGGACTGATTATAGATGGTCAGTATGAAGATCTTTCTTCCAGAAGAAAAAAGAAATCTCTCATCATTCAGAAAGTCCATCAGAGAAGCAATGAGTTTACTGGGCCTTTTCACAGCTTCCATTCCAGGAGTGAATTGGGCAAAGGCGATCAAAGGAATATTCTATCCCAGGGGTAGGCAACCTTTTAGCAGCACTGTGCCGTAATATGATTGTGATTTCCCATAGCGTGTCGGTCCTATTTCTTTAAATTTAGGTGTGCATGTTGCCATATTCTGCTTGTTATTTATACTGCAGTTGCTTTGTATCCATGTATTTGTGCGTAAATGAGCTATTATATTGTATATGTTCATTAATTGTTTGTGGTATCATGTATAATACCTATGAATTTTGGCTGTGTATATGGGGCTGCTTGTGGAATTGTGTGTGGATAGTTATGTCACATTGTGTATTTGGTATTGTGTGTATGGGTTGGGCTGTTTGGGGTATTGCATGTGAGAGGCTGCATGTGGGGATGTGTGCATGTATGTGGATTGTTGGTGGTGTTGTGTTTGTTTGTATTATTTGTATAAGTGGAGGGTTTTTCTGCAGCTCTGTGTATATCTAGCAGTGTGGGAGGCTTCCCTGGGTTTTAGTGGGGACCAGGCTGGCCAGGTACAGCTCAAGGACATAAGCTGCAACAGGAAGCTGTGGGCTGCTTTACTCCAGTGTGGATTCCCATTCCCAAGTGCTGGGAGGAAGTGATCTGAGCTCACTTCCTCTATGTGGTGCAATGCATAAATTGAGGATTGTCCATCACCACCTTTTCGTATTATAGATATCTGAAGTTTCACTGGGACTCCTGATAGTCCAGAGCCTGTTTGGCTCTTGTAGCCTTGAGGGCTGTGCAAAGACACCGAGAGTTAGGTTGCCTACCCCGGTTCTATCCTTTTGGAACAGCCAGCCTGTCTTATGAAACTCAGTCTCACACTACAGAGAGTTTCCACTGGTGGACTTCGGCACGTTTCCTTCAGCAAGGCCTTTCTTTCCACATAAAGTTGTGCAAAAGTATAACCAACACCTGAAGTTACGGCCGGCGTGCACACATGGAAGAAAAAAAAAGAAATGAATTTGGATTTTCAGAGATCTCAAAAGATCGCATTACAGGGAACTCGAGTCTTATTGCTTTCTAGATTCAGATACAGAATCATCATGTCCAAAGCGGGTCAGACAATTCAACAGTAGCTTACATCAACAAGCAAGGTCGGCTGGTTTAGAAAAATCTATGCTCACAGATCATGAGATGGTCCGAATGTCAACTTCTGTCAATATTGGCAGTGCATATAAAAGGAGAATTAAACATCCTAGCAGATGCCCTCAATCGTCAGCATTTAAAACAAGCTGATTGGTCTTTCAGTTCAGATATTCGGTCAAATAACAGAAAAGATTGGTTTTCCAGATATAGACCTTATGGATCCAAGAGCAAACCGGAAAATTAAAAGATTTGCTTCTCTGAACCTGTCACACTGAGCAGAGGTCATAGACTCCCTATTCAATGGAATTTCAATCTGGCATATATTTTTCAGACAATTCCACTAAGCCCAAGGATTCTACAGAAGATCAGAAAAAGAAGTAGTAAAGTTTATTATAATTCTGCCCTGGTGGCCAAGAAGGAGTTTGTTTTCCACTCTCGTACATGTCCCCAATTCAACCTATTGGAAACTACCTCTATCCTTGGATATGCTGGAACACTCTATGGGTACCTCTTCAAACTCTAAAGAAAATCAACCTGACGTCGGGGGCGGAGCCAAGCAGGGAACCTGAGCAGACGCACGCTTGCTGGGCTCCGATCAGAAAGGCCACAAAACATTTTTTGCTGGCAGTATAGCCCGAAAAACGGTATATTGTTATAGCAACCTACCATGGGTCGTAAGCCTAAAAAGGCTATGGGCCCAAGATGGCCGCTAACAGCGACGGCTACACCGAATCATCCGAGGAGATACTGCAGAGCAGGGGGGCGGCAGACCTACTACCTCCACTTCAATCACTCCCGCTCCCACGGGGCTCGGGCCAAACACCTGTAACGGCTGCCACACTGAAGGAGATGCTGAATGATCTCCAGAAGACCTTATAGGCAGATATGGCCGCACTCCGGGCCGACCTCACGGGCATGACCGGGTGCCTGACTACACTGGAGACAACCTCTGAAAGCCAGGCACAGAAAATAGCAGCTCTGGAAACAGAGGTGCACGACATGAAATTACAACCTGCCATACTAGCGCAACGCTTCGCACAGACAGAGGACGCCAGACGCCGCACTAACCAAGGTACGCGAGCTATCGGAAAAGATCCCGACTGCAGAACTTCCACACCTCATGAGACGGCTGGTGGAGTCCTTTCTGTCGTCTAAATAAGCGAAGGGGGTCACTTTCGAAGGCATATTCCAGGTCCCATAGCCACAGGGGCACCAATGTCAGCCACTAGAGATGTAGTGGCACAATTCCGCAACCTCAGGGACAAAATGGCGGTACAGGCAGCACTGAAGGTAGCCTCGCCGCTCCTCTTTGAAAACATGAAGCTCTCCTATGCCGATCTCATGGAGGATACCATGCAATGGAGGAGATCCCTGCAACCTCTCACGGCACAGCTCAGAGCCAAAAGGATCAACTACCGATAGAAGTCACCACGGATACTACAAATACAGCATGGGGACACTACCTACGCAGTGCAAAACTTACACCAGGCAGACCACATCCTAGAGAGCCTGGGCCTATCGGGAGACAATCTGCTACAGCGCGCACCGAAAAAGACCACAGCAGTGCAACGCCAGAGAGACTGAGTGGCCGATCCCGACTAAACATCTGAAGACAAGCAATGGCACACAGACACTGGCACCTACCTGATGCGATGGGCATACACCCTGGACTGCGGGACGTTATTCAACACCAACATAGCCCCCTAGCACTGCTATGCCTGCATCAAAGACTGATGCACACTACGTGACCTGCTACGTTCTTGTTGTTTTTTTTTTTGTTTGTTTTATATATATATATATATATATATATATATATATATATATATATATATATATATATATATATATATATATATATATAGCCTTTTTTCTTCCTGTTTTGTTGTTGTTTTTATCTCTAGTAACACCAAAGTACATACTCTCATTGACCTTACAGACCTCTTATAACCGTTTGTAACCCCCACATGCCTATTAAGGCTTAGTCAGTTTGCTAGAACACCCAGCTAGCAGTAATCGTACACGACCAAAGCGGTTCCCAACCCCCGTCTCTGCAATATAGGCCGGGGCATAAAACAAAAGGCCGTTAGCCTGACTACCAGTGTACCCACATAGTCACAGCTCGGGAGACCAGACTAAGGCTCACACACCTAGTCTTCACGTTAGCCCAAAACACACCACACCTACAATCTGAGACGTGACTAAGTAGTTTGCTCTTATGCGACACTATATAATAAAATGGGTCCTGCAACCTATGAACAGGAGCACCCACTTATCCAGGGGAGTACGTACGAAAAACGGAGAGGCCACATAGCAGAGACTGCTCCCTCACTTACTAGTGCCACCCAAGCCACTGACCTCACATAGACACGAACACACATACCAGACAGTAGCGATTCCTTTTATACTTAAAACCCTCAGCTCTGTACTATCTGTTAAATTACAACCAGTTAAAAGGCTAATATAAGATTCTTATTGACTGTTTTACAATGTCTGTACATAGCGATTATATGCTCTTCTCGCACCTATGAGCAAGGGGAAAAATAAAGAATTTATAAAAAAAAAAATAAAAAAAAATCAACCTGACATCCTGGTTTCTGAATACCAGATTTTAAAAGAAAGGTTTATCTCCTGAAGTTGATATTTTAATGTCTGCCAAAAAGGATTCCACTTCCAAGATTTATTCTAGAAGTTGGAAGAGATTTTCTATTTGGTGTTTCAAGATCAAGAAAAACTCCTTATCAGCTTCCATCCCGAATATTCTGAAATTCTTATAGATGGGCTTTGCCAAAGGATTCAGACCTGCTACTCTCAAAATCCCAAGTTTCTACCATCACTTTCCTCTTGTTTAGATGAAAAACCTGGAAATTAAAATATTCTAGGCCAAAGCGTTGTCTCGCTTGGTGCCAGCCATCAGGGAAACTTTTCCACCTTGGGATCTCAATCTAGTGTTAACAGCATTTTCTGAGCCTCCTTTTGAACCCCTAGCAAAAACTTCTCTTAAGATTCTCTCTTTCAAAACATTTTTTTGTGGCAATTACCTCTGCTAAACGTTTGGGTGAACTTCAGACCCTTAATGCAGATGGTGCTTTTTTGATTTTCCTTTAGGAAAAAGTTCTTTTGAAACTTGATCCATCTTTTATTCCCACAGTTTGTTCAACTTCTAACGTCCATCAAGAAATAGTTCTACCTACATCTTTGGATGTACAGAGAAAAAAAAAAAAAACTGTTCATATCTAAACAGTGCCACATAGATCACTTTTAGAAGACAAAATCTTATTAAACAGAAAAGGACACTTAACATAACAGGCCACAACCACCTTGAGCTTGTTGTGAGATCAGTCATCCAATTCATATGTTTTTTTTCCAGTGGTGAAACGTGTATATCTTGTATGTTTGACAAATGTTAAGCTTGTAGACTGTGATTCAAGCTCCAGCGAAGGGATTGAGGAGTTAAAATGAGGATATGCCTTTGTTAATAAAAATAATTTAAAAAAGGAGCCTTAGATGGAGGTAGCAAACACAGGTGCCAAGGCTGCCTTAATTGCTGTAAAAGGGAGCCTGGCCACTCTATAGAGCTGAAGGCTGGTAGAGCTACAGGCAGTGGTGTTTGGAAGTTCAGCAGCTACTACCAATGTGCCCACATTTAGGCAACAACCAACAATGAAGATTTTTATTTGCCTGAAGTGAAAATGTAAATCTTAAAGGGCCAATCCAGCACCACAACTTAATCTCAAGTTATGGGAGCTCAAGTCCGTGGACTACGAACAGGTAAGTATTAGCTTGGTGGCCAGTGATAGACTGATGGCATCAACTGGTGCTCTCAGCCATTAGCCGCCTATGATGCGTAATAATACAAACTATTCCTTTTTACGTTAACTCCACCATCTCTAAAGAAAGCAAGAGCAAAACTTGGCTGTTTAGGTTCTGCCTCTGCAGATGTGATTGACTTTTTCCCTTTCCAGAGGTAAGGCAATTAATGGACTGTCCCCTTATAAAGAAAACTGAATCAATATACATGTTGCTGCAGTCAACATGTATTTAGCGTGAACGAAACCAGAAAACTTTCTTCCAAAACTAGCAACAAGACCTGTGCAAAGGATGCAAGTTGCATGGCATCCCACAATATCTGGTAGATGTAGATAAAATGTTAAGTAAACCCTTGTTATTTATGTACAACTAGTACAATATAAAACACATTTATAAATAAACTTCATATAGCTTTGTGTTCTTCCCAAAAATGCATTAAAATGGTCCATTTGTAGTCCTAGCTTTGCAACCCCAAATTGCATTTACTGCCATTCATACCCATAATCATCACAATAATCTACTTTGTTGAAAAATGTTAAAAAAATTAAATTCTTTATATATTTATAAACAATGCCATAACATTGCTAAAGTGCTGGAGTACAAATGTTAAACATCAGTCATTACTTGAAAACAAATGGCTATCTTGGTAAATTGCAGAATGAATATACCCCCCCACAATCTCGTGAGCACTTTTCAAACAGGTAATTAAGGGGGAACTACAGACTGGAACATCATTTTTTTTAATCCCTTAGGACCAACGGTAGGCAACCTTGGGCACTCCAGACATTGTGGACTACATCTACTATAGTGCTCTTACAGCCATAATGTTGGCAAAGCATCAGGGTAGATGTAGTTCACAACATCTGGAGTGCAGAATGTTGCCTACCCCTGCCTTGGACGATGTCATAAAAAGTATGCAAAAAAATAAACCAATTTTTCTAAATAAAGTTCTATGGGTAAATCCTGCAGAATGGAGCTCAACTTTTAGCTTTTGTTTTCAACAGGAAACAGATTGCTAAAGGCATTTTGTGAAGTATTGCCAGGAGTACTTGCATTGAAGACTCACTCTAAGCACCAATCAGTACGCTGTAGTGCCAGTACTCCTATAGCCTAGGTTAAGCTATCAAACCAATTATGAATATCTACCTGGCTCCCTTGGGTGCCCACGGCCCTTGTAATTTTTGCTGACATGCTGAAGCAGTTCATACATCCCCATTAGCATACAAACCCCTACCAACTTTGGACATTAATAATTGACTGAAAGGCATTATGCGCTCAGATAATGAATAATGTCCAAAGTTGGCATGCACTTCCACTATAGTGTAGTGGCACAGTCCAGACAGACTGCGTGCACCCGACAGTCAGGTATGTGTCACATAATTTATAAGAGGCTTGACATCATACCCTATAATGGTGCCTGGGGATTCCTGCCACCATAACCACAATAGCATACATTAAAGTCTCCTGAGCAATCTTGAAGTCACAATTCTTGTGTATGTACACATTCATGCATGTTCCATCACGTGCACACAAACTGATTGCTTCTCTTATTTGTATAGCCGGTGTGTCCATCTAAAAGCCATGAATGGTCAGGGATTTTTTAAAGGTTGTGGAGTTGCGTTCCAGTGTAAAAATACCAAGAAAAAAATAACTATTCTTTTGAGAAGCAAATTTTGCAGAGCGGTCCTTATGAGGTTAGTTGTGTGTGTTTTTAATTTCATTACTTTATATACTAGGCGACAGGCCTAAATATAAATAAATGAAGATTTAAAAAAAATCTGTATTCTGAATATATCTGTAAAGTTTCAAATTAAATTTTTGCTTTAATCCATCAAGTGCATAGTGGCAATAGCTCTCCTGTCCAGCATGAGAGAAAGCACAGTTCTATATTCTTCTTAAATCTTTCTTTAGTGTTAAGTACAACCAAGCGTTAAAAAAATAAATCGTTTTTTCATGGCTGCCCTTCGATAGCAGTAGACAGTAAGATCTTTAGCATCTGAATCCTCTCTAGCACAGCAGGTGGAATTTTTTTCCCATCAGAGATCCGTCGTTCGAAGGTGCACAGCTGAGTTTCCACATCCTTTTTTGTTAGGTCTAATTGATGATTTGACACCTGTGACACTGGGTCATCTATGCGTTCTGTCACACGTGTAAGTAAATTATCTGTAAAATAAGGGACAGATTAAAAAAAAATGTTTTTCCTCAGTCAGAAATCCAATCCAACATTTTTCTTGAGAGGTGTGATCTGCCTGGTCACTGGTAAGATCTCAATTAGAGTGAGACTTTACTCTCGCTCACTTGAAGTAGTCAAAAAGTTAAAATTCTACAACCGTTAAGGGCGTAATTGTCTGCAACGCCTGGTGTAAATCATAGAAACATATTTTGCATAAATATATTTACAATTTGTTTAGTTGTGTTTTTTTATGAACACAAAGGGAGTTTTTAATCTTTTACATTACTAGTTGTAAAATAATGTGTGCACTTGCTAGGGGGGAGGGCAGTTGGGAGAAAAAAAAAAAAAACTCTTTACTTTAAACTGAAAAAAAAAAAAAAAATAATTAATGTATAGCTTTGAATGTCATCCACTTGTGACATAAAAGAGTGAGGGCTGGGCTTACAGATGCATAATTTTTTTCCAAACTGATGTATTTATAAATCGAAAGCCACAGATGACACATGAATATGATAACCAATTCTTTAAAAGGAAAAAAAATGGCTAAATATGGTGTAGCGGAACAGCTTCAGTAAAGTGATTTTATATGAAAATAGAAAATGTCAAACGCAAGTTCTACCTGATGTGATCCTTTGATAACTGAAAAACAGCAAGCAGATGTCATGTAACATTTCATCCCATCTCTGCCAATCCGTGTCTGAACCCTGAGAAAGCACAGAAAACAGAAGGCATCAGTATCTGGGAAATGTCCTAAAACTGTACTCTATTTCTTATCCACCAAATAAACAAAAACTTCTCCAAAGGGGACACAACCACTCATTGATGCTCTAGGACTTAGCCTTATATTTATATTGCTTCTAGTAAATAAATGTTACCAATATCACATTCAAAAGTATTCCGTTGAGCACACCTGACCCTGTGGGGACTCCATTTACTGGGTCAATCTGTTCGCAAATGATTGACTCCTGGAGCGTGTATAGCGACCTTCCTACTGAGATTCTTCCGTATGGCGGATCGTGTTTCCCCCCCCCCCCTCCTTGTGCCTACAAATTGCCTCTGTGACACAATCTGACAGCAGTTAATTATTAAAAGATAACGCGAATGTTGGACTTGGCTTGCAGAGTAATCACGAATAGCCAACGCATGTATTCACGGTGACTGGCCATGACACGATCACTCGCCATCAAAATTAGGTATGTACAGAATACAAGCTATGAAAGTAATACATATGTTTTCTTTTGAGCTTGTAATAACCAAACTCTATCACTGTGATACCCTAGCATTTTAAAGGGACACTCCAGGCACCCAGACCACTTCTGCCCATTGGAGTGGTCTGGGTGCCAACTCCCACTACCCTTAACCCTGCAAGTGCAATTATTGCAGTTTTCATAAACTGCAATCTTTACCTTGCAGGGTTAAGTCCTCCTCTAGTGGCTGTCTACCAGACAGCCACTAGAGGGACTTCCTTGTTCCTAGAACGCGAAAAGTGTTTTAAGTGACACTGGACGTCCTAACGCTATGTGATGACCTCCAGTGTCGTTGAAATCCCCATTGGAAAGAATTGAATAATGCTTTTCTATGGGAAGGTCTAATGTGCCTGCGCGACCATTGCCGCGCATGCGCATTAGGTCTCCCCCACCGGCTGACGTCAACGCTTGACTACCGTTTTAAACCCTTCAGCAACTTGGGATAGGGGGTGGGAGAGAGAGAGAGAGGCACTCCAGGGTCCTGCAGTGCCAGGAAAACTTATATTTTTCCTGGCACTGGAGAATCACTTTAAGTAACACAAAAGTAGTATTTAAATGGATACAGTGATAACACAGATGTTCAGTTTGCCAGATCATACATTCTTACTTCAACTCATCTCCAATTTGTATATTTCTGACTCCCCCCTCCCCCGCCTTATTTCTATAATCCATTGAGTTTTTGTGAACTAGTCACATTTTAGAATAAAGACAAACATTACATTTTATGTTATCTATTTTATCTTTGTCTATATCAACTTTTTTTTCCAATTCTTTATTTTTGGTCGAAAAATAGAATAACACTGTGGTACAAAATGCAGAATTCCAATAATTTGTGACAATAGTGATACGGCGATATTACATAATACCAATTGCATCATCTAGCATAAGAATCATAGGAGTTTTATCTAGGTATACCTGTATGTGAGCTGTTTCATCCACTTTGTTAAATATTCTCATAATGAAAAAAAAAATAAAAAAATTATAATATATATATATATATATACACATACACACATACAGTTGCAAGAAAAAGTATGTGAACCCTTTGGAATGATATGGATTTCTGCACAAATTGGTCATAAAATGTGATCTGATCATCATCTAAGTCACAACAATAGACAATCACAGTCTGCTTAAACTAATAACACACAAAGAATGAAATGTTGCCACGTTTTTATTGAACACAACATGTAAACATTCACAGTGCAGGTGGAAAAGGTATGTGAACCCCTAGACTAATGACATCTCCAAGAGCTAATTGGAGTGAAATGTCAGCCAACTAGAGTCCAATCAATGAGATGAGATTGGAAGTGTTGGTTACAGCTGCCCTGCCCTATAAAAAACACACACCAGTTCTGGGTTTGCTTTTCACAAGAAGCATTGCCTGATGTGAATGATGCCGCACCCAAAAGAGCTCTCAGAAGACCTACGATTAAGAATTGTTGACTTGCATAAAGCTGGAAAGGGTTATAAAAGTATCTCCAAAAGCCTTGCTGTTCATCAGTCCATGGTAAGACAAATGGTCTATAAAAGGAGAAAGTTCAGCACTGCTGCTACTCTCCCTAGGAGTGGCCGTCCTGTAAAGAGGACTGCAAGAGCACAGCGCAGACTGCTCAGTGAGGTGAAGAAGAATCCTAGAGTGTCAGCTAAAGACTTACAAAAGTCACTTGCAAATGCTAACATCCCTGTTAGCGAATCTACAATACGTAAAACACTAAACAAGAATGGATTTCATGGGAAGATACCACAGAGGAAGCCACTGCTGTCGAAACAAAACATTGCTGCACGTTTACAGTTTGCACAAGAGCACCTGGATGTTCCACAGCAGTACTGGCAAAATATTCTGTGGACAGATGAAACCAAAGTTGAGTTGTTTGGAAGAAACGCACAACACTATGTGTGGCGAAAAAAAGGCACAGCACACCAACATCAAAACCTCATCCCGACTGTGAAGTATGGTGGTGGGGGCAACATGGTTTGGGGCTGCTTTGCTGCGTCAGGGCCTGGACAGATTGATATCAAAAGAAAAATGAATTCCCAAGTTTATCAAGACATTTTACAGGAGAACTTAAAGCCATCTGTCTACCAGCTGAAGCTCAACAGAAGAAGAGTATTGCAACAGGACAATGACCCAAAGCATAGAAGTAAATTAACAACAGAATGGCTTAAACAGAAGAAAATACGCCTTCTGAAGTGGCCCAGTCAGAGTCCTGACCTCAACCCGATTGAGATGCTGTGACATGACCTCAAGAAAGCGATTCACACCAGACATCTCAAGAATATTGCTTAACTGAAACAGTTCTGTAAAGAGGAATGGTCAAGAATTACTCCTGACCGTTGTGCACGTCTGATCTGAAAATACAGGAAATGTTTGGTTGAAGTTATTGCTGCCAAAGGAGGTTCAACCAGTTATTAAATCCAAGGGTTCAAATACTTTTTCCACCTGCACTGTGAATGTTTACATGATGTGTTCAATAAAAACATGGCAACATTTCATTCTTTGTGTGTTATTAGTTTAAGCAGACTGTGAGTGTCTATTGTTGTGATATTATTGATGATCAGATCACATTTTATGACCAATTTGTGCAGAAATCCATATCATTCCAAAGGGTTCACATGCTTTTTCTTGCAACTGTATATATATTTTTAAATAAGAAAGAATAGAGATTTAAAAAGAGTCCCCATGACTCTGGCCATAGTTATTATATTGCTCTGAAGAAATGCCCTTAATGCAACAAACTCCAAACGGTAGATATTTACTTCATCCCTGGGTATCTAGGTGCAAAGCACACGTACCATACGGGACTGTATCAAGGGACAGAAAGTACCAGAGAAGAGTATGAGAAAGAAATAGAGTGTATAATAAATAGACAGAAAAAAAAAGTATTGTAGTCAAGTAGGTGGTCGCTGGTCTCACTCACCCGGTCAAAATATCACCAGGTGTCGCGCCCAATCAGGGCCAGATGGGGAGGGGGATGGGACAGAACAAGGCTCCAGTAACCTGTCGCTCTGTAACGTCATGAGTGTTGCTCGGGGTCAGTCACAATGGTCACTTGTAGTCCAGGATTCCCAGATTTTCTCAAACTTATTTAGCGTGTTCCTCACCTGCACCGTTGTTTTATCCATCAGAGATATGTCTTTAATTTTGTCAAGAACTTGAGATATAGATTGAATAGTAGGGTGCAGCCAAGCTTGGGCTATAGCATGTCTGATTGCTAAGGTGACCTATGGATCAGTTTTTGTTCCATTCTAGTCCACCCATCCACAGGTCTTTTCAGGAGGCCCACCCAAGGTGTCAGGTCCAGTCTCCTATGAAAAAGCTTTTCTAGAAAGACCTCTACTTTGGTCCAAAGGGTTTGTATCTGGGGGCAACCTTGAAGTCACACCCACTCCAGTACAAGTCGGTTGGAGTCTTTCATACGATCTAGTTTTACTGGGGTAGAATACCAGCTGAACATAGTCTTAAAGCATTGCTCTTGTAGTGTGACGCATATGGAGGAAGAACCTGCCGCTTCCAAAATATCTTGCCAGGCTATACTTCAAATTCTTCCATGCACAGGTATGCATATAAGATAAGTCTCTCATAAAAGGACAAGCATTTGTGGGCTGCCTCCTTGATGTATATCTGCTTTGCAAAGTCTCTGATCTGTATATATCTGGACAAAAAAAAACAAAAAACTGAGAGGGTAAGGTTCGTTCGAGATATAAGCTCAAAGGATATTATCTGCCCTCTTTTGGAATCCACCTGAAAGGTTTACCGTGATGTGGCAGGTGAGCTAAAGTCTCTCATGGCCATTGGAGAAACTAAATAAATAAACTCCATTTGTTTAAAAATGCAAAAGGATTTGGGAAGAGCGCAGGTAACTTTTTTTCTTTGGTTTTTACTGTAAGAAGAAGGAGGGAAGCCTAGGAATGTTAGAAGACCAAAAAGATAGGGTCAAATGGCCCTATCAAAAGCCTTTTCAGCTTTAAGGGAAACCATTAAAGTGGGGGTTTTGACATTAACCAGTCTCCAAATTATATCTATATTTCTGCGTGTGTTCTCAAATAGCTGGCGGCCCGGTATGAACCCCACTTTGTCAGCATCGATTAGTTTAGTCAACAAAGGGTTTGGTCTGTCCGCCAGAACCTTAGAGTCGTGGTTGATAAGGGTGATTGGGGCAGTAATGTTCAGGTAGGAAGGGGTCTTTGTCTGGTTTCAGTATCAGGACGATCGTAGCTAGGGACATTTCTCTATTGGGGTTCCTCTTTCTCTAAAATCATTAAAGAGCAATTAGAGTTTTGGAATCAGATCTTCGTAAAAAACTTTGTAATAGCCTCCATTGAAGCCATCTGGTCCCGGGCCTTGTTGCCTTGGAGGCTCGAGATCGCATTATCCATTTCCGCACTAGTAATTTTAGTATTGAGAACATCTACTGCTTCTGGGTGTAGTTTAGGTAGATTTAGTTTTGAGAGAAACGAGATTGTTAACTAAGAAATAATCTATTTGCAAATACGTGAGGTGCCAAATAGAAAGTATAGTCTACATCGATAGGGTGATGTGCTCTCCAGATGTCTAGTAGGCCGGTACTCTGAATAAACTTATGGACCAATTTGTCTTGTCCCCCTCTGCCTCGGGAATGTAATAACCCCCAATGCGAGCTTCTGTCGACGGCAGGACACGGCACAGCGTTAATTAAATGCCGCCACCCATCAGAATCATACCATGGTGTAAATCTCAAATTTTAGAGGTTAGAACGTCCCAAATGCCTACAAAAGCCACCCCTGCCCCCATCACCCACAAATTGGTTTCCCCTCCTTGTGACTGAAGGCTCCTTCCTGCTGTTAGAAGGCGTACAAGTAAGATTGTGTGTGGTAGGGAGTAGGGTATCAACATAACCAGCTGTAAGGAAGGACTGGTCCAAAAAGAGACCAAAGTGGCTCAAAGACACAAGTCAGGGAGAAGTAGGAAGAGTTCCCTCAAAAAATTATAAGCAACGATAACATTCCCAGGTGAGCACAACAGAGAAACAAACTCCCAAAATCAAGCCCTTCTTCCCCAAAAATTCACCAGTCTCCACCCTCCACTGAGAGTATCCCCTCCATTTTACAACACCTCTACCAGGGGGGTCCAGCCCGCCGGTGGCTCCCTTCCTCCCGTGTCACAGTTGATCACTCGCCGGACTGGAACCATTCTCTCCGTAGGTGCGGCAGGTCCGCTGCATCAGCTTCCATTGGTGATAGGGTGTTCAGTACCTGGAGCCCTAGAGTACCAAGAAAGGAAGCGACATCTCCTCCTGGCTGTGGGCGGCCAGCTCTAAAAAACATGAGTTTAAAGGGGTAACCCAAGGCATATTTCACGTTAGCCTGTGTAAGGACCTCCGTAATCGGCTTCCATTCCTGTCGCCGCTTTAACGTGGTGCCACATCTTGTTAGATAGAGATTACCACACTATCATGGGTAATGGGGCCTTCTCATGGCCGCTTCACGACTGCTTCTTTAGTTTGAAAGTAACAGAATCTCACTATGATATCCCTCGGGACATTCTGCTCCAGTCTCCTGGCTTGGAGCACTTGATGTGCATGTACATGTCTTGTGGAATTTCAGGCAATAGTGGCCCAAATATGCTCAGCACCAACTCCGCCTTTTCGCTGCCAGGTAGGTATTTACTTCAGCCAGGGCATTTAGGATTTGGGCCGTGCCTGGCTGAGCTCACCCGCAACAGCAGCGGCGTCTGCACGTGGCGCTGTGGCAGCAGCCGGCGACCCAAGACCACTGCCATCTTGTGATCCGGGTGGTAAGGCCCTCAAGGCCGCTAATAGGCGTGCAACTGTCGCCCCCTGGTCTAGGCTCTTTTCTCTATCGGGGGAAATTTCTAGTTTTTGGCTATATTACGGTGCCTTTGTAGCTTATGGTGGTGTTTTTAGAGTGGAGCCTTAAGCAAGCACGTCCAGTTTGCTCCCCGACCACGCCCCCTATATAAAAACTATTTTTTAAAGTACAATTAGAGGGTTGTCCCTCATTATATTATGATTTGCGCAGGTTGGAAGAAATCAATACACTAAATGATGTGTTTTCTTTTCATTTCCAAGCACAGTGACCACTTCAAATCATTGAAGTGCTTGGAATAACCCTTTAAAGGTCCATAGCATTGATTGTGACAGTGATACAGGGAAGTGAACCAACGACAGAGGGAAAACATGAAAAGTACAGAGCCAAAAGAATATGCATGCATAAACAGTTCCAATACACTATATATATAAATAAATAGCACACATCACACAGTAATATAGTTGTTGAAAATCAGACTAGACACCCTGGGTGCAAACTGGTAAGATTTCCATCCAGACTGAAGCCAGCGAACACTCACCTGCTGCTCAGGGATAAGTTTGAAGTGCTCTATGAAGCAAAGGATATTGGCCAAAGAAAGAGTAGGTGGAGTAAGTCCCGGACAGCTGTGGGTAAAGAGAAACTCCAGAATCTTGGCCCGCAGCAGGTGGCTTTCAAGACTGTTTAGAAAAATCTCCCTAAGAAAAAAACAAAATAAAAACCTGTTACAGTCAGACATCTCATTGAAATTAAATCACGAGCACGCGTCCTGTACTTCTATAACAATTAATAAACAAAAAGGTTTGCCTGGCACATGAGGTAACTAAACTGCAGGATAACCAAAACCATTATTTAAAAAAAAATAAAAAAATGAAGAAAGTGAAAATTGTGAACAATGTGTACACAGCAGATTTTGTAGGCCATGATCATCATCTAGACTAGTAACCGTTATCAATGATAACCCCCCCCCTCCCCTACAAAAAAACAAACAAACAAAAATAAGAAAATGTTACTTTTGGCTCAACTTCTTTCTTGCACATTTAGAAAAGAAAGGAATAAATAAATAATATTGTTTTTGGACTGACAGTGGTACTTTGAAATCAAATTGCTGGAAGGATATATTGTGCCATTTTATATAGTTTTCATCAACATGTATACATGTACATCCTATCCTACTTACTTCTGCTGCCTGGTTTTAATATCGATCAAATAGGAAAATGTAAAATCTGCAATCCTAATAGAGCTGATTGCAGGCGAATTGTCAATTTCAACAGCAATGGAGAGCATGCGCTGGAAGAGGAAAACCTCCCTGTAAATGGAAAATTTAGGAATGTTGGCTACCAAGTAAAGGTTACTGAAAGAAACACAAGACCTACATATACCATAGCCCTACCTTTGGTTGTCAAGCTTAGAGTGGCATTCATTCTCCTCTATGGGGGAGAGGTCACAGGAGTTTCTCACCGCTTCCATCAGCCAATTAATGACATCTCTGGAACATCAAAACACCAGTTAACTAATGGACCTGAGGAAAGTCCCGAATCGGGACTGAAACGTTGACGAACTTTGCATTTTTTAATGTAAATTAATAAAAGTTACATTTTATAAGACTGAGAGTGCAGACCACCTCCTTCATATCTCTCTCTCTCTATATATATATATATATATATATATAAATATTTTTTTTTTTACATTTTTCTTAAACCTTAAAATTACAGTACAAACACATTATATACGTTTTCAAACAAACACTTAATGAGCAATGTGTCATGGATTCAAAATTAGGAACCAAAATATAAACTGTGTTGTGTAAATGATGGGCAGGAAAAGTCTCCCCAACACTATGTTGTTTTATAACTTAAAGGGACACTATAGTCACCTGAACAACTTCAGCTTAATGAGGTTGTTCAGGTGAGAACTATAGCTCCCTACAGCCTCTCTCATGTAAACACTGTATTTTCTGAGGAAATACAGTGTTTACATTGAAAGCTAGGAACACCTCCAGTTGCAGTCACTCAGAGTGAACCAGAAGAACTTTGGAGTTAATGGAGGCATAATATGCCTCCATCCACTCAGATCTGCTGTCAGCAGAGCACAGGGCAGCACTGTGCACAGCATCCTGTGATTCAGTATCTCCTCCCTCTGCATGCAGATACTGGACTTTCCTCATAGAGATTCATTGATTCAATTCATCTCTATGAGGAGATGCTGATTGGCCAGCATGCTGGCTCTGCCCCTAATCTGCCTCTTTGTCAGTCTCAGCCAATCCTATGGGGAAGCGCGGTGATTGGATCAGGCTACCACCAGGGCCGGACTGGGGATTCCAAAGCAGCCCTGAAAAAATAAATAAAAAAATCTATGCCAGCCCCATAAGTCATTGCGCCATATATTGTCGCCTGTAATATGTAAGGCTATGTCTTGCCACCCTAGATGATTGAGTGTATATATATATATATATATGCTTTTTCCAATTTAAAAATATTGGTCCTTTCAGAGTCAAATTTTTTAATTATACAGTAAGCATACTCACATGCAGACACAGACAATCTCACTGACACAAGCTGATTGATACACAGCCTCATAGACAAACAATCTCACTGATATACATAAGGTCATAGACATAAAAACACAAGCCCACTCACTAGCACGCGCGCACGCACACACACGCACACACACACACGCACACACACGCACGCACACGCACGCACACACACGCACACACACGCACACACACGCACACACACACACACACACCTTAATGTAGTGGCTCTGGTGTCTATAGCCTGTCCCTGCAGGCTTTTCAATGTAAACACTGACTTTTTAGAGAAAAGGCAGTGTTTACATTGCTTCCTAGTGACAGACACTCAGACGGTCACTAGAGGTGCTTCCTGTGTCAGTGCAGATTGGCTGAGATCATCAAGCTTGATGATTTCAGCCGTAGAGGCAGGGCCAGTCGAGGGGAGACCAGCACGACGTGGGGGAAAAAAAAAAAAGAAAAGGTGAGTAAAAACATACATACATACCATGACACGGACAGAAACACACACACCGTGACACAGACACACACACACCACGACCGAGACACACCTTAAAAAAGACACACACACACCACGACACAGAGAGACCGTGACAGAGACACACATTACATGACACAGACACACACACACACCATGACATAGACACACACACACACACACCATGACATAGACACAGACAGACCATGACACACATTGCATGACACAGACAGACACACATTACATGACACACACACCCCATGACACGGACAGAGGCACACAATGACACAGACAGAGGCACACAATGACACAGACAGAGGCACACAATGACACAGACAGAGACACACACAGCATGACACAGAGAGACACAATGACACAGACAGAGGCACACATGACACGGACAGAGGCACACAATGACACAGACAGAGGCACACAATGACACAGACAGAGGCACACAATGACACAGACAGAGGCACACAATGACACAGAGGCACACAATGACACAGACAGAGGCACACAATGACACAGACAGAGACACACACAGCATGACACAGAGAGACACAGAGAGACACAGCATGACACAGAGAGACACAGAGAGACACAGCATGACACAGAGAGACACAGCATGACACAGAGAGACACAGCATGACACAGAGAGACACAGCATGACACAGAGAGACACAGCATGACACAGAGAGACACAGCATGACACAGAGAGACACAGCATGACACAGAGAGACACAGACACACACACCATGACACAGACACACACACACACATACACTCACACACAATGTCTACCTGTGGGGAAGCTCCTTTGGCGGCCGCAGGGGGAGCTGGCTGTTCTGTCTCTGCTCCCCCTCAGAGACAGAACAGCCAGCTCCCCCTGCGGCCGCCAGAACAGCCAGCTCCTCCTGCAGCCGCCTAAAGAGCTCCCTCTGCGACCGCAGGTGAGCCAGCTGCCTGCCCGGCCCCAGGTGCCGACGGCCCACCGGGAAATTTCCCGGTATCCGGTGGGCCAGTCTGGCCCTGGCTACCACATCAGCAGGCTGCTTGTTTTTCTGAGTCTAACAGCATGCAGATTTACAGCTTCAGGCTTGAATACAGTAAGATTTTTACAATATTTATGGAGGCATGGGGGGGACCCATGGGGGCTAGATGGTGGTGTTAACACTATAGGGTCAGGAATACAAGTTTGTGTTCCTGACCCTATAGTGATCCTTTAAAATCAATCAGAAGGATAAATAACTGCAGTACCAAGATCAATTTGTGTGACTTATCTAGCTATCAAAAGTAATATTTCAATATATAATATATATAATAACCACAACCACCGTAATGGGCTTCTCAAACCTTATGGGTATACTCCCGGCCAAAGTTTTATCATTTATTAGTCACTCACTGGATATTCCCGAATTTCTTATCGCAAGATAACATTGATTTAGCCAGACAGTTTGTCAGACTCCGTCGTCGTAAACTCCTATGGAAATCATCGTGTAAAGTCTGCACGGCATACTGGAGGAACAGTAGGTAAGCTGGACGTTCCTGAAAATGCAGATTTATACTGAAGCATTGCACAAAGAAAGCAGATATAAGTGATAGGATTTATTAATGCTAAATAGTTACCGGATTATTCACTAAAATGTGAATGGTCAGGAATTAAAAGTTAATTCTTAGTTTTTAGGGCATAACAGCAGACACATTGTGTAAGTCAGCTTTGTCTTCAGTTTGGCTAGTCACTTTGAATTCTGAAAATGCACACTTTAGTAACTCTGGGAAATCTGGTGAACGGAATAGTTGGTTGGTTATTGAGTTGAAATGGTTTCAAATTAGGCTATTTTTTATCTCAAGTGTTTGGAATCCATCTTCATTAATATTGAGGAGGAAGGTTTACGAGTCACGAGAGCCAGGTCTGGGTGTGATGCTATAGCTCCCTATACTCCACTGTTTATTAAAAAATACTACACTATTACTGCTTTAGATTTTTGGTTTTATTTTTAAGAAGAAAAGGCTTGTATAATAAAGAAATTCACAGGTAAAATATATTTTTGTGCAGAACACCACATTTTTTCCCTTGTCTTATTTACATTTTATTTGTACAAGTTTTTGGTGTTTGAAGGAGAGGTTCTCACACGATCACTTAATTTGGTTATTTTAACACTAAAACACGTTTGTTTTTTGTCACATTGTACAATTAAAGTTAGCATATCCTATTTTAAACTCAAGTCACTTATCTACTCATCACAAACCATGGGTTTATTCTGTAAACATTGAATTATAATCTATAGTAGATAAAATATACGAGAGGGCTTCATGATGCTGCCATGTGTTTAACATGAAGTGGAGTCAGGTGCCAAGTCATCATGGTGACCCAAAGACATGTCAACTGGTGCCTAGGTATTTGTCACCAACAAAGAGGCATTTTAACATAGACAGCTGCCTACTTCACACTCACTGGATGAAGAGCAAGATCTGCAAAAGTTGGTAGTCTGTTCTTTTATCATTTACCTTTTTTTTCATAACTTCTTTCAGCAGGTCCCAATCCCAAGCTACTGTATGTATGTTGGCTGGATGGAGTCTGAAAAAAAATAAAATAAAATAATATATATATATATATATATATATATATATATATATATAGTTATCAGCAGTGGTACGTTTTTGGCTCTGCAGCACGTTATTAGTCATATAGATTTATACAGTACTACGGTACAATACTGTAGAATCTTCATTGTATATATTTCTTTAATGTATATTTTATTATTTTAATAACTGAAAATTGGACATCCAAAAATGAATAAAAATCAGATTATCAGCGTCCATATTCATCAACCTCACAAAAGAACATAATTACAACTATTAGGGACATATAATACTTATAGTTCTGTCTATTAATCTGTATCGTAAACTTATTCTACGTCCATAATATACATACAAAACACTGACAAAAGACGAGTCTGCGTGACCAGGTGTGCGTCCCCTCCCTCCCATTTTATTAGAATCCTTGAGAAGTAACGATTTAAAATGTAATCCAATCAGGATAAGAACTCAGCCAAGGATCCCATATTTTAATACAAGAACAAAATCTTTGAAAAATAACCTTTTTCCATCTTGCATTGGAAATGTATTTGATTCAATACCCTTGTCGGAGTAATGAAGATCTGTATGGACAGAAGTTTGCCATTTTTATTGATGTTATTTAGGTGTAGATGTAAGATGGCTTTTTCCGGAGATACAATCATTTTCACCTGTAAAATATCTAAAAGTATATGGAAAAAACTTTGATCCATGTATTGTTTACTAATCTACAGGATCACCATATATGTTCCTGCATTTAAACCACATATCCAACATTGTGAGCATTGATTAGGATCTATTTCATGCAGCCTAGTGGGGCAAAGTGCCATCTGTGCATTATTTTCTAGTGTAGTTCTGTGTAAATCTCTCAACGATTTCTAGTCCTGTATCTGTAGACTAAGCAATTTGGGCTCTTGATTTATTTGCCCTTTTCAGAGTTTTTTTTAAAAACTTTGAGCTTTTTTAAATACATTTTTATTTGAATGGGAGGAGAATCTTCATTATTTGTGGTAAATCAAAGATTAGAGATGTGAAAATGAAAAATACTCAAAAAAAACCCTTCACCTGCAAGTAAGATTTTTCAGATTTTACTGTTAAAGATTGACAGGCAAGTCCTGCAGGTGTAAGGGGTTTATGAGTTATGCAATTTAGTTTCCAGTCATAGTTTCACTCATACAATGAGTGTAGCTGGTGGCTTACTTAAGCAGTGCAGATATTTTGTAAACCGTATTTCCCATCATGCTCTGACAACCAGAAAGCTGACTGAGGAAAATGAGAAATGTAGTTCACAAAATATCTGCAGTAACGTCATTAATAATTACTGCTTCTAAATATTAAAAAGCAGAGACCTCATCAGTGACAGCATTCTAAAACAAAGCTACGAGTCAAGTGATTACAGGTTCCACCTACTCTTGCACTTTCATAAGGAGTGTGTATGCCTCACACTTGATGCCTGGATCTTCTCCCTCCAGAAGGATAGATCTGATGACGTGGCAGAGGATATCTTTGGGTGGGTAGTGATTATCAGACACAAAGTCGGACAGGAAGTGCACTGTGGCCTGTGGGAAGCTCTCTTCCTTTGTGCTGTACACTCTATTCATCCTTCTTGAGGGGATAGGCTGAAATGAACAGAAATATGATGAGGATCCTGTTGTGCTACACACGTCATCCCTAACAAATAACCGGGGTCTGCCATTTGTTGCAGTAGATCATATTGAAACTGCATAATTAAGCCTGCCTCTTACAACATTAGAAAGTACAATATATTGAAATAAAACACGGATATAAAATATAGATAAAAATGTGTCAAAACACGAACATTGAAAGCTAAAATGCTGTGTACCACACCTAGAGGGGTGACTAAATTATGATTAGACCAAAAACAAAGAAAACTGTAGTTGCACCTATATAAAATCATACATATTACATTTATTAAAATTATTAAACATTATGCCAATGTCAAGTGTAATTTATGATCATTACGATATATACTTTATGATATACTGTATTTCAAGGTGCATTAATATTCTTTTGATTACATGTTTATTTAAAAGACTATTAGTGCACTACACAGTTTTCTTTGTCTTAAGTTAAGAACAGAGTCATAATAATGGGCATATATAAAATGGAACACACACAAAAAAAAAAAACCACAAAAAAAAAAAAATAGGCAGGAGAAAAGGCATGGGGGACAGATTAGATGGGACAGGAAGGTCAAAGGGCAGAATATAAAGTAAAGAGGAAAACTAAGTAAAAGTGGCCTCGATTTTATATTGTTGGATATGATTTCCAAATGATTGAGAGATATATCAATACATTCACAAATAAATAATAAACAGAGCACTCCTTAGGAATTTTTCATCAGTGTATTAAACAATTAATCAACGTTTCGACCCTCCTGGGTCTTTATCAAGGAGAGTCGAAACGTTGATTATTTGTTTAATACACGGATTAAAAATTCCCAAAGAGTACTCCGATTATTATTTATTACTTGAAAAAGTTTTTTTCCCCACTCATTGAAGGTGAGTGCCAGAGTTTGGAATGAACGAACGAACGAGAAAACACACACACACAGACCATTTATTCAGCACAAATCATACATCGACGTTTCAGTCCTACCGGACTCTAAAGGTCCAGTAGGACTAAAACGTTGATGTATGATTTATGCTAAATAAAAGCATCTATACTTTCTACAGACCCCAGAGTACACTCGTCTTCATTCCTGTATTATGGCTGGAGTTGGCACCGGAGCATTCTAAAGACCAGGGAACTTGAGTGCTGGGATCGTGGTTTGTGTATATATATATATATATATATATACACACACACACACACACACACACACACACACACACCATATATACTCGAGTATAAGACAAGTTTTTCGGCACATTTTTTTGTGCTGAAAACCCCCCACTCGTCTTATACCTCGAGTCAATGTTTGTATTATGGCAACTTACATTGCAATGAGCCCGGCGGTCTTGTTAGGGGCTGGCAGCGAGCTGTAACTTACCTTTCCTGCAGCTCCTGTCAGCTCCTTCCTCCTGTGTTCCGGTCAGCTCCCCTGTCAGCTCCCACTGTAAGTCTCGCGGTGTGACTGCCGCGTGTAGCGTTGCCACGGTAACCCGCGGCAACGCTCTGACCCCGCGGCTCTCGCGAGACTTACAGTGGGAGCCGACCGAGGAGGGAGCTGCAGGAAAGTTAAGTTACAGCTCGCTGCCAGCCCCCCTCCTACACAGCCAATGCAACTCGACCACCAGGGAATGAGAGCCCCCCTCCCTGGCCAGCTAACAAGCAGGTTGGGGGGACAAAAAAAAATTACTAAAAAATGTAAAGATAATAAAAAAAAAAAAAAAATAATTATATTAAAATAAAAATATTAAAATAATAATGATCAAAAAAAAAATAATAAAAATGCCCACCCCCCCCCACCACCGTTACACACTCTGCATCACATACACAAACACACTCTGCATTCATTTTATACTCAAAATAAATATTCAATTAATGTAATTTTTG